AACCCGACTTGGTCACCAAAATTCACTCCATAATATACTTATTCATCTTCGTGGAATATTTACATTTGAATCTTCTACTCGTAACTTTTTGGAAGATTGTTTAAAACACGATGAATGTTCTATTAAAAAACTCCAGAATTGGTTTGACTTCTTTTTACATATGAAAAGAACAGGAACTGAAGACGACTACATTCAACTATCAACAAATATGAATAAATTTAATAAATTAGTTCGAAAAATAAGAGGAGTTTCAAGCAATGTCAAAGCAGATTCAATTTTTATACTTTCTTCTCCACTCACATTACTCAATAAGTATACAAGACTTTTCACTATTTTAGGAATGAAATCGGCATTCACAAAAGATCCGGGATTCAATAGAGCAAGACAAATTATAGCATTACTTATTAGAAAAATAGGACAAAATGTAGAAGTGCCAAAACAGTGGACTTTATTTAAAAGTAAAAACAAAAACAAAGACGAAGAGCAACTTGAAGATAAAAGAGAACGTGGTGGTTCTTTTTCAAAAAGTCGTTTACGACTTTTTTCCAAATAATTGATTTGTTCAGATCATAAATAAAAATTCGTTTAATTTTAAAACACAATGATACAATACAAATAGAAATAACAAAATTTTGATCTATTTTTTGAATAAAGCAAAATGATACAAACAACCAAAAATTGTTTCAAAACAAAAAAATCTTTTAAAAATAAATATAAAAACCATCATTAAATATTTTTAAGCTTAATTTTATCTGTTTCATTTTAATTTCTGGTTTCGATATGAAAATATTATCCTGATTTTTTATTGAAGATTCTATGTGTCATTATTTACATTTCAAAGTAATTCAATACAACAATCACAAAAATGAGACAATTTTGTGTTTGTCCTTACTTAAATTTTTAAAAACAATATTACATAATAAAAAAAACTATTATATATTAATAAAAAAATCAAATTTAATAGTTTTATTATACATTTTGGTATTTTTTTAATTTAAGTATAATAAATATGAAATTTATATAATTTGTAATATAAGATTGTAAATACAACAAATGTAATTGTATAGCAAATAAGGAAAAAACAATTAATAATTTTTTAATATAATAATAGTAATTTTATAATTATTAAAAACAAATTTAATAAACAAACTCACAAAAAAGGCAATAAGATAAGAAGTCAAAAACCACCATTTTTAATTCGAAACAAATGAAATGGATGTTGATTAGGAGTATTTGTTGGAGATGAGAATCTTCCCACCAGACCCAAAGTCAACAAAAAACAAATAGCACTTATTATAAAAGATTACAATGATGGCGTTGCTATTCTTTCTTTTTTCCTTTATTCTTTTAGCAAATTCTTCAATAAAAACTGCATGTCCTTCATCGTCGACACTCTCTGGTGGAAACCTTTCATATAGTGGCTATTGTTCTTACAACGCATTTTTAGTCACTCGGAGCGCACAAATCTATTTGACTGATTTGCCAACCAAATTTACAATTGGTACAATGACCATTGAAAAGTCATCAAAAATTGATGTACTACAAAATTCTCAACTTTTAATAACAACAAAACTTTCATTGTTGGAAAGTGCAACTCTTAAACTTCTCGATACTTCACTTTGACTGTCGCT